TTACGATGTGGAGACACCACAAGGCATCTACCGCCGAAATCGGCGCCACATCCAGATTGACAAATCAGGGGCCGATAAACCGGTTCCATCAGATGACCCGACTCCCAGTCTTGTGTAGCAGAACTGTGTTCCAGTTGAAAATGACCAGACCATGAGCTCAAATGTGAAGCCAGCGTCACACGATTCAGACATTAACACTCCGGTGACAACTCGCTCTGGTCGCATAAGTAAGCCTCCTAGGCGATATGATGAAGACTTTTAAATGGTAAAAGTCAGTGTGTTCAAGTTTATCAAGATGATAAATAATGGATGACATGAAGTTATTACAGTTGTGTTATTCCAAAGGGGGAATTTTCAGTGAGAACTGACTTTTAAAGTTAAATGTTTAAGTTCCATGTTCTTTAAAGTTGAAATAATTCAGTGCTAGAACCCAGTAATATCTTCAACACATCTGTGTCCGTTTATTGAAGTGTAAAAGATAATTAGTTCATTATCTGTTGAAAAAGGGAGATGTCACATATTGTGTAGTGAGTTATCTCCCCTAGACCCAAAAAAATGCTGAAGCGAGGCTTGCGGCGTGTGTCGCCATTACTGCCTGACAGCAAAAGATGTAGCCAGTAGTGATGTGGTTCTTAAGTAAATAAACCATTCATTCTGAACCCAAGAATCCTGTGACACGGAAGAAATGGTGACTCTTTCCATTGTTTGATGATTCCGTGCACCCCCAGGCAATGGAATACACCATCGTACCATTTACAAAAACGACAGAAACAACACGATTTGTATTACTGTAGTGCTTATTCTTTGGCAATATGGTGGACGCTTGTCACATATGACATCAGTCAGCGGAAAGGTCACGAGAGTTCCAGCGGAATATGCATAATGGCCGAAGCTCAGATAACAGAAACTATTTTCGCAATAAAAACATAATAAACCATATTTTTTAAATAGAAATTCAGGTACATGTTTCTGATGACTTTATCTTTCACCCAGCAAATTATTGCAATTGTCTAGTGTACTCCTTTAATGTCAACTATAATCGGTGGCCCAGTATTCAGTATGGAAACAGTGGCAGTGGGTTATGTGTGGACTGTGTAGTGGAGGTTAACTCCAGAACTGGGGTGTGGGTAATATTCAGGAGCGAGTAATAGTGCAAAAAATACGCTAACTGGAATAGTTATATCATTTGACTGGAAGTGTGTGATACTTTCTCGTAAAGGTAGCTCTAGGCATAGGACTTTCTCTGATGAAATGTGTTATTATTCTTTGAAATGCTTGCAGGTTTCTCTTAATATTTTTAAGAGCTATTCCTTCAATGATATCACATTCACAAACAAGCATATTTGTTACCAACTTTTTCGAGTTGATGTTCTATTCATATTTGGCCACATTGATTCTGTCATTTCCATTTTCAATTAAAGTATGTAATTTCCAAATTAGAATATTTCTGTTTGTATAATTTGTTATTTATTTTCTAAAAACATTTGTTATGCTGCAGCAATATTTTCAGTAACTATTTCAAATTAAGAACTATTTTTACATATCAATATTTGTATTTGTTAGGAACTATTTAATAGATATAATCAATGGAGACAATTGGCTTTATGCAATGTAAAATGCATGTGTAAACTAGTTGGTAGGCTTAACAACTGGTTGGTAGACTCTTCCAAGTCTAAGGGATGACTGTAGGCATGTTCAGGTGAGAGAATGACTCAAATAAATTGTTTGTTGCTTTGCAAATGTGAAAGAAAAAGCATTATAAATTTTACTTTGGATAGATGACAGGGATCTGCATGTGTCAAATTGTTTCTTTCCTATGCTGTAAATATACTGATAATGATATATTGAATAAATAGCAGTTCTTGTAACTTCATTTTTAAAATAATACAAATATATGAACTTTGCCAGTTATGGTGATGTTTTTATTCACACAAGAAGTCATAGTGTCACAAATCAATCAACAGCTCGAGAAAATAACCTTGATGGCATGGTTACAATTATTTCGGTTACTACTGTCAGATATTCAAACCAATATGTGAAAACCTTCAGCCATATGAATATTCATCATGAACAAATATTTATCAAATTATGTAAACATTATTTTAGTGGGGTGACATTTAAAAAAACTGGTTGTTGGACAATATTAATTACACTTTGTACTAGATGTCTTGGATGTTGTGAATTATGTACTATGATCTACAGTACATGCGTGTTACTTAGTTCTTGGTTATGCAGGGGTGAGGTTCTGCTGTGCTGTAAGTAAAATATGAAGCAGCACACAGCACCTTCAAGTCACAGTTGGCAAAAATGCAAGAATACTCAAATATGGAGTAATCACGCAAAGACATTTCCTGTATTGCAAAATATACTGACCAATACATGGGGAAACTAAGTGTGCTTATACACTATGTCATGACTGTAGATTCTGCAGATACTGGCTGATAGCAGCATAAGTATGATTACTTGTCATGAAATTTAGTGTTTTTCATCCATTTTTAGTAACTTATATATTCCAAATATTCTGCCAATGAGGCCAAGGTTGGTAACTGGCATTCCATATTTTCCACTATACAGCTAGACCAATATGATTAAAAATAATGGAAAAGAATAATGTATACTGGTTATTGTGCTATGAACCACTGTTGTAATCTTACAGCAAATAAAAACAAAGAATTTCATATTTCAACAAAAATTCCATTTCATGTAGAAATACTTGCCTATGCCATTGATTAAGTTTAATTTTCATTGGTAAGCATGTTTTTTCATGGAAACTGGGGTAGTAGGGTAACCTAGTGGTTAAACTGTTGACTTGTCACACTGAAGGCCTGGGTTTGATTCCCCACATGGGTGCAAAGCGTGAAGCCCATTCTGCTCTCCCCAGCATGATGTTGCTGGAATATTGCTAAAAGCGGCATAAACCAAACTCTCTCACTTGGAAACCTTTGCTATACACTGAAAATCTAATCTCATACATTCATCATTATATATTTAATGTCAAATTAATATCATAGCTAAAGCAGAAATCTTCCAAGCCATTCAATTTGTGCTTGCTTTATCCACACTCAAAAAACAATAAACAAGTTTTGGAACTATTCTGCAATGTTATTCCAAAGACATAACTACTCATAACATATCAAACATTCTTTGCATTTCCCAGATACTAAACCTGAAAAAATGCTGTTACAGTAAGAACAGGACTATTTTCATGGTCACTCATCTAAATTCTCACTGAATAATCTGAGAGTTCCAAGATGTCACAAGAAATTCCACAACACCTTGCTGATGACAACCATTTCCTGTTCAAGCAAGTGTCCAAAGGATGATGTGTAGGGCTTTAATATGTTTTATAACTGTATATACAACACTTGCTGTTTCTTCATTGGCAATATATTGCTTGACCACCAGATGTTAAAAGAAATCTGAAGATCTGTTTCAGTTTGTGTTGCTCTTGATGTCAATGGTAATTGTGGTGATCTATTCCTCCTTCTTTCTCCTCTTAAAGATGTGCATCTGTTGCAACTGACAAAAATACATAACACATGTGAGACCAAGAATGATATACTTAAAAAATGTAAACAGTTCCTTACAGTGTTGACATCAAGATATTATTGATAAATTAAGCATGTGGATATTATGTTTACCTGAACATGCTGCACCATAAACAAATGCTAAATGGGTTTGTAATAATCGAGCTCATATTACAGAATACATTTGTGAGTGACACCTATTCAGAGCTATTGGCATCAATCAAAGTGTGGATATAATCATCATTGTTTACACGCTATTAAATTATTATTTAATTCATAACATTTATTTTTTTAGAATTACACCTGGAATTTCATTGAGCATAAAGTTATCTCCTAGATAATTCCAACTGCAACATACTTTATTTATTAACACAGTTCCCGATAAAAAGTTTTATGCACAACTTTACAAATATAGACCAAAAATGATATTTGCCATGATGAATTAAGTAAGTTATAATAAATGTAACAACTCCAAAATCCCACTGTAATGAGTGGGTGTGTTAATATTTATCGTCACATTGACAATATTTCAGCTATATCGTGACGAGAACAATTTATTATTATAGATCAATACAATCAGAAATTAAAAGTCTGTTGTCGAAGAATAGTAAAACTGCTAGTATATCACATGTATTAAAGTAAAATTAGCATGCTATCATAAAACAATGTTATTAAAGAGAACAATACAATATAAAAATGGGCTATTGGTTGCCAACAGCTGAAGGTAGATGGGGACGGGAACTTACAGTACTTTTGCTACCTGCATGAACCCTAGCTGGATTTACATCACCCCCTCAGCTGTTGACAGTTTAGACATTAATTTAAACGAACATATATACTATGATTAAAAATGTGGTGAGATTAAACATACTTTGAAAGACGTGGTCTGTCTTACCCTCTCGGGGACAATAAAAGCCCACTGTAAGATATTAACGATTCACCAATCTGCACACGTCAACTCCACCCTTACAGTGCGTGTCATGCTTAAATTATACCAGCCTTTAAATGAAAACTAAGAAATCCATGTAACAAATAAACTTACCTCGACTAATGAATGGGCCAGCCTGAAGACGACTCTGCGACTACTCTGCAGCTGTTTGGCAGGTATCCACATGCTATTCCTGCAACATTGCCTTAGTGCGTTTATAGTCTAGGCATAGTCTGTTACATGACATAGTCTTCTGAGTCACACAGCGAGTGTCGAGTATGATTATCCATGGCATGCCCCATGTAACAGTGTTATCACCATTGCCGAAAAACGTTGTTTGTCACCGGAAGTACTAAACAACATAATGTCTCGCGAAGTGCCGTGAGCTACTTACGGACCCTATTTAGAATAAATTCATACCATCACATATGAAATTGTTGTGTTTTGTATCGTATTCTTTTCCTAGTCCTTTTAACTTTGAAAACTGGAAAAAACAGTGACATTTAGTTATATTATCTCAATCACTGATCTTATTTATGTTACAGGTTGGGCAGCAGCCACGACTTGCTGCATCAGAATTCTTTGACATCTATCCAGCTTATGTCTGCAACAACAATCCTTTGAAATGCAGTCAGGTATGGTACTCAGTGTAAACCCCTGTGTCAGAAATGCCAGAATGTCCCATTCATGACAGGTGTAATCACTTGTTAAAGGATGTGATATTGATATCCAGTATGGATGCTCACTGACTTGGCCTTGTGTATCATCAGACCAGGTGGACAAGTGAACAATCATTTTCCCATATTTATTTGAGATTTACACATTAACTGTGCCCTTGCATTCTCCCAGAATACTTTTCCTCACACTGTTAGTGTCATGTCGGACACAACCTGACAAGTGAAGCCATATTGTGACACGTTTTTGCTCACCAATTCATGAGGTTCAAATCTGATGTTCTGGCTGTCATGTCATCTGCATTGACAAGCTCATTTTAGCCCCTTACAAAGGCATGTGCTACATGTGTATATAGGCCTAACATGTATGTTCTGTTTGTGTGATATTCTAAGTTTCCACCTTGATTTGAATTTTGCACCTCACCCATACTGCATACTTCCAGCTGAAACATCTTAGGCAAATTACTGAAATATTTGTCCAAAATTATGATGTGGAGTTTGGTATAGAAGAAGATAGTAGTGGGACTAGCATCTCATGAGAAGACCAACAAACTTTCACATGTTTGTCCCACCAATGATGATGACCCTGTTCATTCAAGAGATTTTAAATTTGATTTTCAATACAACCTCTTGTAAACCATGTTCAAAAATATAGTATAACACTTTTTGTACAGAGTGTGATGAAATTTTGTATTCAGTTTGAACCCATATGTTCATTGTTTCTGTATATTGTTAAAAATATAAAGAATATTACCTCTATTACATCAATACCAGAAATTTAGTAATTCTCGCAATATTCTAGGATCTATCTCAATTATGTTATTGCCATAAATCCTGTATTTTGGCTTCAATCCCACTAAAACTAAATTTTCCAGTTGCGCATGGGAAGAGATAAGTCACACTAAAGACGCGCTGGCTACCATAAGTAATCCTGTCAAATGACTCAGTTAAACACCGTTCTGCGAAAACAAGTTATTAAAGACATTTGTAAACGATTAATTAATAAATATGCATAAACTGTGAACAGTTTAACATCTCCCAAAATGACAAACTTTGCTAACACGGAGGAAATTGTAAAGTCATCAGAGAAAAGACTACATGAACTCATCCTAGATATGAAAACCGAATTGAAAGATTCTATTGATGGGATTAAGTAGGATATAAGTGATTTGAAAACCAAAGTTGACAGTGTTGAACATGATGTTTCAGTGCACGATGGTGAACTGACCAAACTTCGCATACTCAGTCTTCTCAATGGAAAGCGTATGAATGAAACTTGACAACAGACACTGTGTCTGACTGAACATTGTTTTGTTCTTTTCAGTGACTGTTAATGTCATCTTTTCTTTTTTCACACTTAAATTTCAGAATTACAAATATTGTCTTTTAGCTCCTATAGAATGTTTCGCTTCTAAAGCATATTAATTTTGTCTTTTAATAGCAAAGATCATTTAGAAAAATCTTTGTGGAAAAGGCTCAAGTAGTGCTCACACCACTAGTATAACAGGGAACACAAAAATCATGTTCAGTCGTAACAGTTGGTTGTATCTCGAACAGTATGCAATCCAGCGTTGTGTTATGATTGGTGTTCTTTCTCTGGATTACTTTATGTGATCTGCACCAGATGGATTTTCATTTGGAATACTTGGACCCTATTTAGTGAGTATGTTTTGGAATTGTTATTTTGAAGAGTATTAATGTTTTATATCGAATAGATACAACATGTAGAGCATTCATCTATGTCTGAAATAATGTGACTATAACGAAACATCCAAATGTGATTTTTTACTTTTGATATGTGAACTCAAATCAGCAGAAATTGTTTATATTTTTAATGTTTTTACAACAATGGCAGGATCATACTTTCTTTCCATTTATAATTGAATGATGCTGCGAGAGGGTAAATGTCCCCAATTTCTTCTTGGAACAATGACAGAGGTCAATGTGTCCTTTTTTTCATGTTTTTTTATCTATGTAGTTAAACCCTACACATTCACTTTCTTTTCTTAAAAGATGTTTCTATGACAACCCCAAATTGGGTCAGCTATTGGCATACCAACCGATTCTACTTTTAATGACTCGATATGGCACGTAAACTTGACATCTTCTCTGCAAATTGCCAAGGCTTAAACAATGAAAAAAAGAGAATTGCTTTGTTTGAAAATATGAAAAAACAAAATGGTAACATTCATTGTATCAAGGATACACAGTTTACTGAAAATATTGAACAGAAAGTCAATTTTGAATGGGCTCTTCTGAAGCCCAGTTTAGTTCGTATACCAGCCAATCAAGAGGAGTAGCTATCTTATTTAGAAATAATTCTGAATTTGAAATTCTCAAAGAAATAATAGACAATGGTAATGGCAACTTTCTGATACTTAAAGTGAAAACAGAGAAAGAGATATTAAGTATTACAAATGTTTATGGTTAAATGGAGATATGCCAGACTTTATCATGAAATTAAAAATAAGATACTAAGTCTAGAAACTGAAATAAACATCTAGTACAAGATCAATCAAAAGGTGTTTTTGACTATTTACATAATAATAATCCCAATTCAAAAGAAGCAGTACTTGATAAGATGGATGAACTCAATTAATTAAGGCGTAAACATTCCGTCTGGATTATGGTTGCCTAATTCTGTGGTTTCCACAGACACATACAGAATGAAGTGAAAATTTTAACACTAAGTCACAGCTATCCCATGTGGTATGACCTTCCAACTGACAGAGTTACCTCCCCCTTACGTAGATGTCACTGTATAGTAGTTTGAAAATCCTCACAAATTTTCTGTATGGTATACACTGTACACGTGTATAGAGTGGAGTGAAAAATTGACTTCTATCACCTTGTTTTCTACACTGATCCATCCCTATATAGGTTAGTGTTGTCGACATTAGTCCTTTGGACATTGTATTTTATATTATTTTTACGTTTGTACTTGATATATATTTTCCCGCCCTTTTTCCTTTGTCTAACTTTAAGCTATGGCTAAGAATAAGTGCGTGCAATGTCAGAAGTTCATGTCGGATTTAGAGCCCCATTCTCTCTGCATTTCTTGTTTTACTGGTAATCATTGTACCTTGCAAGATCGCTGCCTTCTGTGTTCAGAATTATCAGAGGTTGAGTGGTTAAGTATGGATTCTGCAAGATCTCAGACTAAGAAACGTAAGAGCTCCCCGTCGTCGGAGGCAAGCAAAAGTAAAAAATCCGCTTCGGGGACCCCACCATCTTCAGAGAAATCTGAATCAAAATCCAAATCTAGATCTAGATCTAAATCGGATGCATCTCATTTGGACATTTCTGCTATCTCGGATTTATTTGCATCGTTTAAATCAGAGTTTCAAGCCTCAGTTAGTCAGTCCATGTATGATATGGAAATGAGGAATGAGACCAAGATGAATTCATTACAAAAACTGTTTCATGATGGCATTATGTACGGCAAGACGACCGGTGGTCGCACTGACTGGGTTGAAGATGGCAGGAGCTGGGGGCAAGAGTCAGTTTCTGTGAAACTCGGGGGTGCTCTACCTGGGAAAGCCGGGTATCACCTTACGACTGGATCAGAAGGCCGTTCCCCACAGGGGGAGAAGCCAGGGGCTTCATGTGACAGGGACGGGGTCAACCTGGCTGACCCCAGGCAGGCTTTAGTGCGCTCCAGGCAAAACAAGCCGTGTCCCTTGTCCCTGGGAGTAAAGGTGGTCACGCGCTTGATCCCAGTCACTCAAAGCCTGCTACCTTATCCCATGTGGGGAATGTGCTGCAGTCTTATCCTAGCGGGACTGACTCCATGCCCTCAGCTTGCGTCGCCAACCTTGGATTTAATCAATGAGCCACGGCTGCCACGGGTGTTAGCGGTATCCAAGACCAGCAGTCCAGTAGCCACGTGCCAAGTGGGATTTCCACGGGGAGCCACGGATAATTTTGACACTGATAAGCCACCGTTTTTACGCTTGTACCGACCCTCGGATCTGGAAGCTACTTCTATTTATCCTCTCTCTCAACCAGAATTCGTTATGAAGGAGGGATTATTGACAGTCCAGCCTATGGATACTTCGGCCGAAGATTTTGTTCCTGGATGGTCTCTTAGGGAAAAGGTTGAATTAATCCATGGACTTTATCCTAGCACGGTCCCGCCACAGCCTGAGGAGCCGGAACGGGAGTTACCAGTGGAACTGGGATCGTCAGAATGTCTGCCGCCGGAAAGGGTTCCCAAGCTATCTCTTCCTCATTCACCGGCACTTAAGTTGGCGCTGGATTCTTACCATTTGAACCTCTCCAAGGCGACTTCACTTAATGCATTACCCAAGATTATTCAAAAGCCAGTGTATGCTATCCACGATAGACTGATTCCACTTTATGCTCCGCATATGGACAAGGATTTCGCACAGCTACAGGATGCTAGAGCTGCCAGGGATTCTCCATTTTCCTGTTCATCCAAGGATCTCAAGGACATTGATGGGGCCGCCCGTTCATCCTTGGACATACTATCCTATACCAACTGGTTTGCTGCGGGAGTCCGGGCATTATTATCACCTTTATTCCAAGATTATGAAGGAGTAAAGAAGGACACATTAGTATCCGTGTCAGCCGAGAAGAAGTAGCCATGGCGCACTCATTCTTAGATGTGGTATATCAATCTATAGCCGACGCAACTCACAATCAGCTGTGTACACTTGGATGTTTAACAACCATGGAGAGACTTCATAAGTTAGATTCAATTAGAAGTCTACCAGAGACAGCTAAAGATGTTTTATTTCAACAGCCCTTGGACTCAGAATCTCTTTTTCATGGACAATGTGGTCAGGCTATTCAAGTTAAGGATGCTTTAACATCACGTAATCTGAATCAGAGATTGGCTTCAGCTTTACTTTCACAAAGCAGGAATAAACCTCAGTCCAGACCGAGGAGGGATGTATCTGCTACTATTTCCCGCCAACCTTCTCACAGACATCAGGAGC